GCCGGAATTTCTTACATTTTTAGATAAATATAAGAGGTTAGTTAGGAAGGTAAGATTATTTCTTGATCACTCAAGCATGGCTTGGGTACTGGCCTGTGCTGCATTGCATGTCACCTTTATTCATATTAATTTGAGGCTGGACTATCTTCGAGCTGATCCTACAAAGGTCACTTCTTTTGTTATCCTTAGATAACAGGTCGGTTTCCGGCTCAACTCTAATCCACTCTTGCCACTCAACCTAAAGGCTTTAGCCCCGTGGTTTGATTTGTTTTGTTGTGTTTTTACCTGGACTGTAATTGAATGGTCATTTAATAAAGATGTTGAGTATTTTATTTTGAGAGTTGCGTAAAGAGTGAGGTTTGTATGGCTAAAGCGAGGGGTGTGAGCGCAGAGAATGATTGAAGTTGACCCCGTGTAGTGTGTGCTCTGTTGATATGGATCTTTGATGTCATTGCAGGTATGTTCTGTGAATTGAGATCCAAACTTGGTTGCTTATGATTATATATGTTGTCCTCTTCTCTCTCTCTGCCTACGGTTTACCGAGCAGTTCTGTTTGTGACGATATATATATATATATATATCTGAAGGAAGCGACATCGTGATTGTGAGAGTGATCGTCTCCCTTCTCATAGTTTTTGTGTCATGTTTCTGGTGCCCGCACGACTCATTGAGGCCGTGCGTAGTGATTGATTACATTCTGCATCGAGAGAAAAGGGAGGCCCTTTTTTAGCTTTTGCTTTTTAGACTTAGTATGGTTGGACGTTGTAGTCCGTGGCAACCGTCAAAGTCAAACCCCTTGATCTCTGGCCGCCACGACAGCTTGAAGCTGTCTACTCAACCCCTCTGCACAGGGTGCAGAAGAGGGTGTGGTCGTCAACCGCGCCTGGCGGTTGTCTAGCACCGAGAGATTAACCCCTCAATGCGCTTGTCAGCCGACACTTGAGTGTCGAATACGGCCCTCGAGATTGCCAAGGGCCGCGTAGGTACGAGTACCCCATCAACACGAACGCTTGCGAATGCCCCCATGGCTGGTCGATATGAGGAGGCCATGCGCTCACACGACTCTTATACGAAAATCCAGCGCGCACTACCTATCTGATTCTCGCGGCATAACGTTATGGGTCGGACGCCGAAGGGACTAGGAGTGTTGTAATGTTGTGGTGTTGTTTGTGGGGTTTGTTTTGTGTTTGTCCATGTGTTATGTGTGGGTAGATGTGAGTGTTGTGGTGTAATGCGTGGTGTGTGTGTTGCGTCCTAGTCGACCGGCGCCGAGTCGCGTTTGGGACCTCAGCCTCCCAGTACGTCGATTCGCGTGCGGGTTCGATTTTCGGGCGTTCGACCGCGCGTAACCCCCTATGCTACAGCGAATGAGAAACGCCCTCGGCTGGGCCACCTCTGCAATTGCATACGAAAAGCTTTCGCATGTGGTTCAGTAGCTCAGCAGGGATACGCCCACCTAAGGGATGGTGACAGCTCCCGCAGGTGGAGGTAAGCGGTGCCTCGCGTGACCCTGTCCTGTCGTAGGGGCTCGCGAGAGGTACGGCTGGCGCACTCGGCCGGAGTGGCAAACGCTCTCCGCGACAAGTCCTGCCAAATCCTGCGTGACGCGGCCGGGAGGGTCCCCGTGCGGGACCGATGCGCTCGACACCGCCACGCGCAGACCACATGGGTGATCTGCGAATGACTGGCCTGCAAACAACGCAACACAGTTTGGGCTTGCAACACCATCTGGGTGATCTGCAAATTGTTGGCCAGCATCCAACAAACCAGCCTGAGAACCTCACCAATCTCTGTGGTCTGACAACAATTCATATTTGTCTTCACATTCTCCATTGCCCGTTCTATACACCCTCACACTTCCTTGCAATCGCCCTTCAGCTTGATGCTGATCTTCCCCAACGACAGCCAGAGGATTGTAATTATGCCAGCTAAGGAGGCTTTACCATTGCTGTCCTACAAGTAGCAATGAGGGACCGTCAACTTGAACTACGCAATGCTCGAGCAGGTGCGTGGTTTAATCCTCCATCCCACATCTCTGCCTGCATTGTGCACGGCCCTGGCCATTACATGGCCATTGTACATGTCTCTGGCCACTGGGAGCTGTGGGACAACGGCACCATGGTCCATGCCATGATTGATGTCACCGATTTCTTACAAAATGATGCTGTTTTCTTGCCACAACAAACCGTCCGCAATCTCTTTTATGTTGAAGATCATTCCTCTGGCCTTGTGCTGCAGCAAGACAATGTACCAACACTCTGCGACCTTCTTCTTTGCACAGCCACAAACACTGTTACACTCGGCTGTAGCCGCCATCGTCTCTGTCACAGTCATTACAATGACATGGTTTCTGCATCCATGTGTGCAGAGGACTGTCCCACCGGTCCTGACTGCAGGCACCCTCCGCATCCAGACACTATATGTCCATTTTGCGGCCATGGGCGCTATACTGAATGCATGCTCTTTTGTGGTGAACGTTCTTCTTCATTTTGGCCTGCAATCGACATGCCATTTGTCGGGGGTGTATGATGGGCATGCTCAATGCCACCCGTCGTGGCAATTGTTGCACTGAGAATGCTCAGCTAGGTCTTCCATGTGTTCATCCACGTCATCCTTACAATGTATGTCCTCTCTGTCGTCAAGGACAGACTCATTCTTGAGCCTTTTCTTATCCTCTTTTGCCTTCATTTTCACTGCACACTCCATACTTTCCCTTACTTTCCCTTTATCGTTCTTTGTTTGTCTGCTCTCCATCTCTCCTCCCTGTGTTTATCCCCTCCCCCTTCACTCTGCCTCTTTCTTACGGCGTACAAGTGGGCTGTTTTGGCACACGGGGATGGGGGCAGCTCACGCTCAACTTCATCAACGTGGCGAGCCTTGTACGTGAGAGGCACGGTGAAAGAGGAGTCAAAAGAAGAATGTGAAAAATGAATGGTTTCACTGTGCCCTTCATTCTTGTCTTGTTTTTTTAATTTTTATTTTTTGCCATTTGTTTCGCAAATTGCGTTCTTTTAGTTCATAGTTATGTGACAATATATATACGCCGCTCAACCTACATCCACATGGGCGGCCTGGTACGCAAGAGGTTCTGAACAGGGGGAGTTGTAAGGAAGAAGATAAAAAATGAATTTATTTTTCTTTGTTTTCTTTCTGTTTTTTTTTTTTGCTTTTGCGCTCTGATAACTTTGTGACAATATATATATATATATATATATATTTGACGATATATAGATATATAGATATCGTATTGATGATTGGTCAGAATTTGCTTTTGTTTATCAACAATGGGAATTGTGTGGTTGCTCTGCCTTCATGGTAGATCGGATGGTGCACACTCTTAGGTCTTCATCGCCAGGTCCACAAATGTTACCTTCTGTGCACACCGCCAAGATCCACAAATGTTAACTTTTGTGTTTTATGTCACTTGGTGGTGTGTTTTTGCGAGAGCAGTTGGCATTAGCACGTGCTCTCTACAGGCTGGGTTTGGAAGGGTATGCAAATCACATCATCATGGTGAGTTGTGGGTCTTAGTATCTTGGAATGTCCGCTCCCTTCTGTTGAGTCATGATTAGCGGAGGGTGGAGATGGGGGGGAACGGGGGAAGGGAGGGGGACAGAGGAGCGTTTTTTTTTTTTTTTCCATTTTTTCTCCTCAGCGCGAGTGGATCTTTTTGCTGGTCATGAGAGGACATGACGGTCAATCGCCAGAAAAGTGAAATGAAATTCAGCCACTGCAATCCTGTAATGCGGTACCTGTTATGGCCTGTTGAAGAACGCTTCAAAGAGTATGACGATGTATTATTATACCCTTTTTTTAGCTCTTTTTTCTTTCCCGGTTCGTTTGTTTCCTTTTTTCCTTCTTTGCAAGGGTGACAGCTTTAAGATAACATCATTGAATTGACCGGTCCCAGGTAATTCAGTCAGAGTGATTTTGTTCTGTTCATCTGATAGGATTTGAACTTGAGTCTGTATTTCCATAGTTCATTGGTGTACCAACTGAGCTAGGCCCGTTGGTCTTTTTTTTGTTTTTTTTTTGTTTCTTTTGGCCATGTCCATTCTGGGGAGCATCAGTAGCTACTGAATCCTGATCAACGTACTTTGAGGGCATCAGGCTCCGCAGTGCACGCACGGCCTCAAACCGGCACCCTCTGCCACAGGAACGAAGTCTCGTAACCACTACAACTCTTGGAGTTGTTAAAAAAACTGGATCCATACCGGTCGTGATATCCAGCCCGTCCTTGAACTCACACCACACACACAACACCTCACCACGGACACGGCAATCAACACGCTCCGCTCGGACACCACGCGGCTCACCACAGCCCTGTTCCTTTTCCCCCAGCAAGTCAGGTATTACATCATACTATGATCATAGACACACGGGCCGTTTTTTAATAAGAAACGCACGCTATCTTTTTAAAATATAAAGTTAAGCATACACACAAGTTGAAGAATACTGGATGGTGGGTAGGGGTGGGGTAGGCCAGGAGGGTGGGAATACCTCCCCTGGGTATCCATGATGGGCTGCCTCCATGTTAGAAGAATGTTGTACCGTCTGGGTACATCGTGATGTGTCTCCAGGTTACAACCGGTCCGATTTTTGGGTTGGTGAACCATGGATCTTGGCGGTAAGGAAAAGCTGGCAAGCTGTCTTGGGGCCGCAGAATTCCTGCTCTCTCATTCCCTTTTTGCTTGTGTTGTCCTGTGTTTTTCTGTGTCTGGTTCATGCTCTCCAATGATAAGCAACACGACTGGCGCTCCACCGAATGGGTGGGGTATATCTTTAATGATCTTATATTATATGATGTTGGAATGCCTGCCTGTCCTTTCCCATACCTCTATTCTTCTTCCTATCTTGTCCTCCCTCTTTCTTCTTTCTGTCTTCTGCATCTGGTGGGCCTTTTTTTGTCGGCCGGAGGGGGAGGGAAGGACGGGGTGGTATTTACTTCGTCCTTTTCTTTTCCCCCTTTTGGGAAAGGCCCTGTTTCCTGACCTGTTTTTTGCGTGCAGTAATTCACGGCCCGGCACCTGCCAGTGCCTGGCATTTTATCTCATCGCGCTTTTGGAAATTTGGGTGCGAGAACTGCTTGACCATTTCTCTGATTGTTTTATTTCGCTGCAGCACCTCCCTATTAAACAACAAGTACTTCCAAAAGGAGCGGCGGTTAACGCGCCAGCCATTGCTACAGTGCCGCGACGGCTCCTTTGGAATGAATTTAGCCTAACCCGGCAGGCCCGTTCGTTCCAGCCCTTCCCGGCGTGTTGATGACCGCACTTTCGGGAAGCACTGGTGGTTTAAGTGTGTGAAATTGTGAATGTAACACAGAACTGGTCTTTAAACCGTCTTCTTTTTTCTTTTTCAGAAGTTTTTCTCCCATTTTCTTCAGTTGCTTGGGCGAGTCCTCAAGTTTGTTTGCGGAATGCTCTTATGGCAGGTAAGGAAGCTTGACTGTCATTGAATGTTAAGTTCTGTGATTGGTACAGGGTATATTGAAGGAGAACGGGGAGCACCAGGGAGCACTTTTTGAGTACGGTGTGATTGCACTTGACAAAGGTCTGTTTTTCAAACTTTTTATCCCTTCTATTTTTCATCGTTGCAGTTTCCGTCATGTTCTGCCTGATATTGTCACCGTGCAAGTGTGCATGCTGAATAGCACATTGTCTGCACGAGAGTAGCATACAACACTGTCCAATTCCGCATGCAGAATAGCACAGCAGGAACACTGGGTGGAGCCTAGATGTTATTGCTGGGCTCTAGTGATTGTGCCAGGTATTGCTGCTGTGCTATTCTGTTTGCAATAGTTTATCGCTCTTTGCATGTAGCTTGATATCGAAGACAAGTGTTGTGCAAAGTGCTGCAGTTCTTTTCAACATCGTTGAATCACTTCTTCTTCTTCTTCTTCTTCTTCTTCTTTGCCATCGTCTTTGTCTTTGTCTTTGTCGTCGTCGTCAACGCCCTTGTCTTTGTCATTGTTTTGTCTTCGTCTCTTTTTTCTTCTTTTTGTAAATCAGGGCCTTGTGCTCCTGCCTCTGTTCTATTCTGGGAAGCTTCAGTTTGCTTCCCTCTCACTGGCAAGTGTTGTATGACTGTACTGTTTGTAATTATTTTGTATCACAATCTCACAACTTTTTTCTGGATCACAATTTCACGATTTGTTTTTGGCTGTGTTCTGTTCTGGGACCTTGTGGTTCAAACGCACAGGCATTCCAGCATCCTGATGGGTTGAGTGGTTTGAATCCCCAGCCTGCAACAATGTGATGACAATGGTGGTGCTATTGCTTCCCCCCCCCCTTTTTTTAAATTACTTGTTTTCACTCATTTAGTTCATCTGGATTTGAACTCAGGTCGGTACTTCAAGAGTTCGTGGGTGCAGCAACTGAGCTCGGCCCATTGGTCGGTATTTGGCATTTCTCTTTTTTGAAGAAAGGCCACGGGTAATTCAAGAGTTCTTTAAACTTCTTTTTTAATTGATAATACTATAATAGCAAACTGCTCTAGTGCATTAAAAAGCCACTGTGAATTCTCTTTTTTTTTCTTATGGAGGTTTTTGGTGATCGATCTCTCAAAGGCTGTCAAAGCCAAAACACTCTCCATCAGGATTCAAGCCTAGCTCTGTTTATAAACAATTGCATTGGTGTACCATTCAACCACATGGGTGTACCCTAACCAACCCTGAACCCTAAACCCTAAAAGGGGTGTGTGCTTGGCTGGGTGTGATTGCCGTTTCACATTTCCTCATGGTGCAACCCTCTCCAACTTGTGACCTTTGGTATGGTTTGGCCATTCACACACATTCACTTCTGTTGGCTGTGCCTGTTTTTGAAAATTTGTGCACCCCCCTGTGCGAATCACTAAAGCTTGTTGTGTGCCTTACCCATAGATTCCTGCCGGAAGCACTTGAGTTTGTCCATGACTGGAGTGTTGCATTTGAACTTATTAACTGATCCATGTGCATGCTGTGTGTGTATGAGTGATAGCGAAGTTTTTCATGAACAAAATTGGAAATCGTTCTTATGATTTTTGTTTTCAGGAATGTACCAGGACGCGTTGAGGGTATTCCTTCGGCTGCTTGTCATCAATCAGAGTAAGGGCCTCCGATATGTGCTGTCTTGCCCTCAACCCTAACCCTCAACCCTAACCCACAGCCCTAACCCTCAACCCTACACCCTAAAAGGGGTGTATGGCTGGGTGTGAGTACTGGGGAGTGTGAGATTGCCCTCAATCTTCAACCCTAACCCTCAACCCCAACCCTCGATCCTAACCCTCAACCCTAACCCTCAACCCTAACCCTCAACCCTAACCCTCAACCCTAACCCTCAACCCTAAACCCCAAAAGGGGTGGGGTAGCTGGGTATGAGTACCCGGGAGTGTGAGATATTTTAACTACTAACGAGTCACAAGTTCGGAACATAAGATTGTCATCTATCCCCTGTGTGTGTGCTCTTCGACGATGGGTTGGTTGTAGCTTTCAATGCGAGAACGCTGCCAATGAATCATGGTAAGTTGGGGGAAGTTAGGGGACACGATATAGAGAAGTTTGACATATCCAGGCAAACATTTATGGGTAGGTAAATTGTCTCCTTTGATTTCTTAAAGTGTATCCTGAAGAAAGGCACCGCTCATGGGTCTGTGATAGTCTGCTTTGATTTCTTCAAGTTTATCCTTGAAAGCCCTGAACAGTGTCCACATGCGACTGGGGGGCAAGGCATGCCATGACTTAGATCATGCAGGGGGCCTTATAAACTTTCTTTCGTTTTGTTTTCTTTTCCAAATGGGGTCACCCTAACATTACTGTATTCATATACAGCCTAATACAGGGTATAATGTTACTGTATTCATATGCGTCAATGACTAATACGTTTGTCGTCTGGGTGAGGACGCCCCCCGGCCGGGCTCGGCCCGGCCGGTTGGGCCGGGGGGGGGCGCTCGGGTAAACCGGGCGGGCCAAAAAACCGCCCAGAACTTTTTTTTTTTTTTTTTTTGAA